GAGAGATATTTGCACAGCTTTTCCTGCTGTCTCCTCACAGGTTACCCACAAGGCACACTGCGGTCACTTCAACCCAGAGTTTCTCCAGGCAGAGTTTTCCATGACTCTTTTTCATCTGCACTCAGTAAATCGCTCTGCAATCAATAGTGATCACAGTGCAGTCTCTTAGCTGGCAAATCAGCCTTCAAACTCAGCAGAGAGCGGGTAAGTCAAAGGTACAGATAAATCTGCACAGCTCAGTGTGTGCTCTGTGATACTAACGGGGAGCAGCTGAGTCAGTGAATGCTCCCCCTCACCCCAAGTCAGTCTCCAGTCACCTCAGGATTGTATTTTTTATAACTGCTGAAAAGGAATGAAAGCAGAGCACTGAGTAGTGCTGAAATAATTAAAATAGTGACATTGCAGGACCAATTTCCTTTGTTCCTCAGGCCTACAGCCGCAGGTTTATGGTTCTTCTGTGGCTTCCTACAATCTAAACTGGTTAGAGAAGCCAAGGACCTTAAGATTAAGCAGGTGAGACTCTTCTCCTTGAGCCAATTCTGACCATACAATATAAGAGAGACAATAACACTGAATAAGATAGAAAACTAAGGTCCAAATCATCCAGCCAAGAGCCAGTTATAGGATAAGCAGCTGCAGTTCACAGAGAAATCTGGACTAAATCTGGGAGAGCTATGCAAGGTGATGTGAACTGGCAAAGAGACAACTGGATGTACATTTTCCTCGATTCAAAGTACAAAGAGGATAGTTTACAGGCAAAAAGAGAGCAAGAGGTGGCATAAGGAGGAAGGCACCAGCTACAAGAAATCAAACGAAAGCAGTTCACCCTCCAGTTTACGTTACACCCTCTCTCTTACTTAAAGTGTTTTTTTCTGCCAGATTTTCCCCTTCAGACCTTTGGCATTGAGACAAGCGTAATCAGCCCCACGTCAGTAACTATATTACAAGCTACTTTCCTCTTCCCTCCTCTCTCAGATGGTTCTTACTTCATCACTAAATTTGGTTCTCAGGCAATAAAAATGCAGCAGCATGTTACGATTAGCAGCAGAGTTCACATGCAACTGTACCTGCCTCTAAACCCACAGGAATATAAAGCTAGGCACTGCCAGGCAGGGGTTGAAACCAGGCGCAGCCAAGAAGTAAAGATGGGAGGAGATAAAAGGAAACAAGCTTTGCTCTTTGGCAGCGGAAGCAACATGTAATGAGGGCAAGCTCACACAGTACTTTGTGGCAGTGAGAACAAAGTCAGAAGTTGGGGAAGTTGGGATGAAATAGGAAATGCTCAGGAAAATCAGTCGGAGATCAAATATCTGGTAGGTATTGGGAGTTTCAGGCAACAAAAGAGGAGTCAAGGCATTGAGAGAGAAAAAATCCTGAAGTGGAGCCTTCCATAGCCTAGGATGGTTTTGATAGCCCTGGTTTACTTATTGTCTAATTTCTCCAGTCTCTTACAGGAGCTCATTTTGCACCATCCTCCCAAGAGAAGTGAAGTCTGCGGGGTGAGAACAAAACTTAACACATCTCTGCCACTCTATCCAGTAACAGTGAATGTTAAGTCCCAGATAAACACTTCGGAAATTTCTGCTTAAAAGCAGACACCCTGATGAAACCATTAATTCTTTACGTTGCCTTGTTATCAAGCTATGTCAGAGTATGTAACGGCTTGAGGAGGCCATTTATCCACAGGCTTCTTGTATGGACACCAACTGCATTTTGCTGGCTTGGCCTGGGCTAAGGGTTATCATTCATGTGTAGGTATCCAACTGAGTAGGAATGCTCATAGAATTGATCCAAACTGAGTTTCTATCCCAGCCAGACTGACTGCATATAACAGAGAGACAGTATATTTGTTTAGTATTAGCATTTAACACATATAAACTGTAAAATCAGTCAACCTCGTGGTCCTCATCCAGCTCCCATTCAAATTTCTGAGACCTTTGTCATTGTCTTATTTGGAAGTAGAACTAGACTGCTGACAGAACAGAGCCGGACCGAGACTTGTCCACGTAGGTTTATTTAAGTAATTCTGGTTTCTTAAGAAAGTAACTTCATATGTATATTCTTGTCCCTCGGATGAGGTCAAAGTTATATGATCTACCCAGTGAAGTCTGAATTTTTTTGGAAATGTAAAGCCAGAAGGAGAAAGTGCTCTCTGGCCTCAGAGGGAGCAGCAACACTTTCATAAAGCCTGTAATCACTGACAATGTTTGCTGTTGCGGCTGTAGATTTAAAGGTGATGGCCAGTATGTAATAAAAAGGGAGCATCAGTTTTATAAAGAGACACAGCTCCACTACAAAAATCGGCTTTTTCACGTAGGCCGGCCCCTCCATACTAACATGCCATTCTGATCCACTGCACTGGTTTTCTAAGCAGCATGGTTTGACTTGTTTCAATACCCTGCGGCACACAGGCGCTTTGCTCCTGGGCTGCCTCTCCTCCCGTCAGAGAAGCAGGGACTGTGCTCCTTCCCCCGCCTGTGATGACACTGCGGTAGCGAAGGCTGCAGATCTGGCTCTTTGCCAGGTCAACGCTGACCAAGAAGAGGGCTACATACTCAGGCTCTACCGAATTTTCAGTGTCCGAGAACACTCTCAGGTAAGTTACCTGCTTCTTCTGTATCTGTTTCTCCCACAAAGAGCCCTGTGTCTATCTGTTTGAACTAAGAAATATTTCAAAAGGCAAATGTAAAGTTACATTCACAGGACTCCAGAGGCTGTGTCAGATTTACCCACAGATGACTAGAAACAGTTTCATCGCCACTGTGGGCAATTAAAGAGCAAATCTCAGTCATGATTCTCTGCTGCCTGCCCCTGGAATAGCTCCAGGCATCAGTTCAAACTTGGTATGAAACACCACTACTCTGATTTAATTTTATTTTACACCTTCCTCCCACTGCCTTGAGCAGTTGGAGTGCAAAGGCTATTAAGTCATTGTACATTTTGCACAAAAGATGTAAGCACTAACAGGTGTACATACGTCCAGCTCGGGACCAGGGAATTCCTTCACAGACCTCTAAATGATGACTCACTCACAAGAAGAAATCTGAAACCAAGTCAAGTGCGAAAATTACACTGGAAATACCTATGGAATATGACTCTCATATCCTCAAGTATCTTATTTCCTCAAGTATCTTATTTCTCTGTGCATGCTTAATTTATCACTATTACGTGTTACAACAGCTGAATCCACCAGCACTAGTCAGGGGGAACCTGAAATGAGTGCACAAAGCCCGCAGCACTTAAGGCACTGTGGAAGTGTGCTACTCATGTGCCCTGTCATGCTTGCTTACTTTGTGTAATCTTACCTGAAAGGCTGATTTCTGAACCCCAAAAGAAAATTGGCATCATTGCCAGATGTTTAAAGATGTGTACTGGCAAGGATGACACCACTTCCCGCTGCTCTCACAAGGACGTGGTTTCTGTGGACACGATGTGGCCTCCAGCAACTTGAGATCTTATGACCAAAGACTCACATTTTGCTGCGCTTTGCACTGTGCTCTCTGGATCGCTTTGCTCAGGTGACAGAATGTGCCCACTAAGTAACTGGATCGGGTGTCTTGAGGATTTTTTCCACATGGGATGCCTCCGAGCTGGCCCAGAACCAACATCATCAGCCATGGAATTTAGGTATTTAGACTCCCATCCTGGGGCTATTTCCAACTGAGAATAATTAGAGCATTCCTACGACCACACGAGAGTGCAGCTTGGTGGGGACAGACACGCTGGGAACCACTTAATTCATCTCCCTGCTTCTCCCTTCATCTGTGCCAAGTATATCTCAGCACAGGAGAATTCCAGTCCCTGTTTGTGATTTGGTCTGTCAGTTCCCTAGAGACTTAACTTATCACCTTAGGACTCTTTGTTCGTTTGGGGGTTGAATTTCTTTTTATTCTTATATTTTATATCTGATATGCCTATCCTGTAAACAAAGTGCTTCCAGACACTGCAGTAACGAACTAGACAATCTAAGCCCATCACCACATTTTTGCTGCTGCTGGGACTGAGTACGTAAGAAGCCGTCAGCTACCTCAGGGATGTTCATGGATGGTAACAACCTCCTGCAACTTTTTATTCCTCTAAAAAAGTCAAAGATTTTTTTAAATATCAGTTAGTGGTCTTTCCTCCTATTTCTTTAACCAATACTCAGGATAAAAACATTTTCAAAGTTACTTCAAATTCAAACCTGCCCTTAAGCAAACCATGGTTCAGTTTTGCTCTAATTGAAACTAATGAGCCATCTGCTACTAACTTATATGCAAGTAGGACAGAGCCTTTCTTTCATACAAGATACTCACAATTAACTTCTCTGACAGGCACTTAACCAAAATTACAAAACATGTCAAAATATTTAATTTCTTTGCCCTGCACCAGGTCAGCCTGCCACAAATGTGCTGCTGCCACATCTCTTCTGGCTCCCAGGCTCCGCAGCGCACACGGCAGCGGCAATCCCAGCAGCAGCAGTGCTGAGGAAGGGATTTTTTTTCAGCAATGCAGAAAAGATATAAGTTTTTATTCAATACTAGGCAGATATCAAGAGACCTTTGCATAACGGTCTTTTAATGAAACTTAAAATAAGGATGATGAAACCTTCAGAGATCTGCTGAGCTCTGAATAAACCCCAAATTATCCTTTCCCCAGTAGAGGATGATACATACATAAGCAGGTAGACAAAAAAATGTGTAGATTATACAAGACAGACACAGGCAACAGGAAATACTGTTCATTCCACCCTAGTTGCATTTAGTATCTCTAAGATCATCAAGCTTTACAATCAGTCTTCATGATGCACCTGAGTAAACTCATGTAACAGCAAACACATTTGATTACAAGAACATTTTGTTAATGAGCTACGTGTGTGCTTTTGCCTCCAGAATACCTGAACAGCCAACCTGAAAGCTCAAGTCACCATTTCCAACTTTGGGAGTCCTTAAAGATACACATTCTTCTTGGTCATTACTTCTTCATGCAGGATAGTCTTAGTGTTTTGTTTTTTTTTTTCTCATAGAGGTTATATTTGAAGTTACAAACTTACACAAAATGCTGCACTACTCCTTTTTCAGCAAATGGCAATTACCCTTTGACCAGTCCTACTTTCTGTTTACCCATTTAATCTATGTTAGTTACCACATTAAAGGAGACATCTCATCACGGTATTTAGTTACCTTGTACGTAAACAGAAAATTACAATTAGTTCCCTCCCCAGAAGGATCTGTGCAGGCAGGTGTGGGGATACTACCACGCCACTGCTCACAGTCCTGCTGCACCTCAGCTTCACTCTTGGTCAAAACCGCTTTTGATCTCTTCACAGCCTTCAAAACAACATTCATTATTAAACCTCAGGATTAATGTAAACAAATCTTCAGAGCTCAGTACAAGGCATTGGCAGATTACATCTTAGAACACTTAGGGAAAAAAAAAGGATATAAAAATATTAAAAATGGTATAAAACATGTTAAGTTGCATATATAAGAAAATAACTTAGAGAAAACAATTTACTCATTCTTTACATTTATTTTCTATTTATCTTGCTCCTTTATATTTAAAGGGTTTAGTACTACATTTACCAGTATATATGGTAGAGCTCTAATAAAATGACCATCCTCATCTCTTTCCAGAGATCTCCATACTGCATGACCAGAGTAGTTTGTATCACTTGGCCTCCTCAGAGCTCAAGAACAGATACTCTCAATGTTTTTCCAAGTAGCATAAAACCAAAACAAGGCAGCAGTATCCCAGCCTTTAGGTGCCCTGTTGGCTGGCCTTTAGTCACCGTTAAACAGAAATCAAAACTGAAGCCAAAATTGTACAGATATTCTACAAGGTTCTTGCCCCATAAAGCCTGTTCTCCGCAAACCACTGAAATCAACCAGGAACAAATGAATCCTGCTCTCATTCAGTTTTGGTTTTTCTCCCTCTTCAGCAAAGACATAATCTCAGTCTAAATGTGTAGTTAACACATCTAAGTTCTTTAGGATGTATAAATGACAACTGCTCTCTTTCCAGCTTTCCACTGCAGAAAGTACAACATGATCCTACTATGCTGTATCCTTCATCAATGTCCTGGAAAGGCGCTTACCCACATCTGCAGCAGAAGCAGAACCAGGAGCTGTGCGATGGAGCTTTCTGCACTACGCCATGTCATCACTAGACATAATGAGCTGTACTTTTAGCCTTTCCCTGTCCCTCTTGCACGGAAACATGTTTGCGCAAAGGTTGAGCCGCAGCTGCTTGGTGCATCCGTGCTGCAGTGAACGGAATAAAGGTTCTGGACTTAGGCACAGCCTCCGAACGTAAGCACCGCGCTGAAGCTGGGAGTGAGTCAGAGCCATCCGCGCAGATACGAGAGGTCTCTCTTAGAACTTTCTGACACCTGAGAAAATATTTAAATTGTCTGCATCAATGCAGTCACTGCCTCATTACGGCAAGTGCAAAGCACCCATACTTGAAGAAGGCACTACTCTAAGAAATAAGGTGTTACCGTTTCTAGTGCCTACTGGGAACATTTTTATTATTTGTGGTCACTATCCTCTCATTTGCACTGAAGGCAAAATAATCTACCTTTCAAATCTAATAATAAAAAGCAGTTGAGTTCTGGTTGATACCAGAATCAAAAGGATAAAACTGACTCTAAAAGGCTGTTCTTTAATTAAAGCTGGCTAGATGCATGATCAAGCCTGTTCTACCCGGGCCTGAGTCTCACCTCATTTGCCATCACTGAGAATTAGTCCCACAGAATGTTCAGTTTCCAGGATATCTACGTGTCCCACTTGTGCTTTGCGTTTTGCCATCTCTCCCTTTAATGTGTCCCTACTTTGCACTATACAAAACAGATCTGACCCTTTCTCTTTTTTTTTTTTTTCCCCAGGAAATCATTGGTTCTGTCTTCTATCTTATCTTGGAGTTAGCAGATACTGAATGCCATGCACTCAGCAAAAAGTTGTGGAAGAACTGTTAAGGTCAGAGTTGCTCATTCAACTGCAGGGATTTTATTTTCTTATTTAATCTCAGGTATGATGAGTTACTCAGGTCCTACTGATGACAGCACAATCCCTACACATGCATATTTAGTAGGCAGCAGAGCTTAAAAGAAGTCAAAGCTTATTTCTTAAGGTTCACAGTTTTCCTCTGTACTTTTGAATCAGTTTATAGACTGGTAAGAATTATTTTTAAAAGTGAACATTAAAAGAAAGTTTTTGACCAGAGCTAATAAGTAGGCATAGCAAAATAGCCATGCTAGGACACTATTTAGAATAAATGGTTTACATTTTATAGCAACCCTATTATTTTATAGGCTTATTTTAAAGACAGTCTGTCAAGAAGGGAATAGAAAAAACTCACTTTTATATAACGTGATTTTCACTTTAGTTTAATTACACTTTTATTCTGACAACTTTGCAAAAATTGCACTGAAAGAGGAGAAAAAAGAAAGCTCAGCAAGATGAGCTGCAAAGACAGAGAGTTATCCAAGATTGTTGCTGCAGGTGACCAAAACTATTCTGAACAAGTGAAAAAACCCCAAATTTAAAATGATGAAGAAAAAGAAGCTTCATATGGGAAAAAAAAAAACAGACAAAAACAAAAAGAAGAATTTATGATTATATTGTCCTGGGCAGCTTCTTAGGTCAATCAGTTTTTATTTTTAAATGAAAAACTGGGAAAAAAACCCAAAAGAACTCTGCTCACTTCTGCTTACAGCACTTTTAACAGGAAAACGGTGCAGAGAATACGCAGTGAAGGAATGAATGTCCTGGAGGCCTTGGCCACGCACGTGGCAATATTCACGAAGCACTCAGAGAACATACGTTCAACTTTCAAACATAAAGGCACAACTTATATTAATAGACCAGTATTTTTTTCTGCCATGATGTCAGTTTCTTTGTGTGCAAGACTGATCTTACGGTGCCACAAAAGTGATCTAGGGCCTTTCCTACCACCCTCCTTCCTTACTGCAGGGGTAGGGCGAAGGGGGAAGGTGGAAGACAAGGGACTGGCTCCAGATACGCTGAGCTGATCTCCAGATTTAAGCTATCAGGGTTCCAGACACAGATCCAGCTCCTGGGGGCCTCGCTGGGGAAAGCGCTCTGGGACACTTGGGCACTTCTTGGCTGCCAGAAGAGTGGCCTTGTGTCAGCCATCCTGCAGAGGAGAACGCACCTGGAGAGCTCCGAACTACACCAGCGGAAGATCTTGCCTTTTATTTCCAAATGACTTCATCGCCATTTGCGTATTAACAGAACTTTTTTCTTGGAAAGAATTTCATGACAGCAAGGAGAGAATGAACCATTAACTGCCCAGGTACTCCGTGATCAGTGCAAACGATGCAATATTAATTGTTTCTAAATGTTTATATTGTTTTAGGTTTATGGTCAATGCAAAACAATTATCTACATAAATCAGGCAAGAAATACTGCTCCGCTGAATACTTATGAGTGCATTTTACAACCAGGCATGTCTTTATTTAACACATTCACTTTAAAAGAGGACTGGAAAAACACTCTTTGCCATTCAGCATTACTCTGAATTTTAATTATGGCACCTCAGCATTTCCATTAGCTTTCAGCTGCCCTAATTTTTCTAAAGTCAGTGATCAAAAAGCCAGTGTGGTCCTGCAGCTCACAGCAGTGAAGTCATAACTGTTTTCACCTCTAGGAAATTCAGCAGAGCCTCTATATGGGCTTTTACCCTGTGGTCCAAAAAAGCATTTTTATGGGTTTATGAAAGGCAAGTGAAACCAGGAAGCCCACTGTCAGCAGGTTGATCTTTTTATCTGCAGCGTCTCTGTCTCCACTGTAACTTTTTTTATTGGTCTGCAAATTTATAGCGATTCAGAATCGTTGAGTGAATCAAAGCACATATCATTACTCCAGGGGACTGGAGGACAAGCGGGTAGGGTTGGGGGCATATATGCATTTACAGCGACCTGCACTGTCAACATGCTCGTATGCTTATGCTTTCTCTAATGACATTGTTGCGTTTGAAGAAAAAGTTCCACACAGATATATTTGGCCATATGTCCTGACTGCCCAGCTGATGACCTCCCAACTGAGCTCAAATATTTGGAAGCGGCTGTTCAAAGTCTCGCCAAGTTCAATGGAGAGAGTGAACACGCTCATTATTTCTCTGTCCTCAATGTCACAAGAGCTTCAAGGCAGGTAAGCCAAGGCTCATCTGACTTCCTTTAACCCTCAAGAAGTATAGAACCACCTCTTATACTTGATATGAATTGTTAAGTCTTACAGATTGCTTAGAATTTGTATCTGTATAGTACAGAGAATAATTTATGCAGAATTCTCCCAGGAAATGAGGATTTGCATTGATCCAAGACTTTGACTTGATTTATTGTGATGAGAAGGGATTTATGCAAAACTTAGGACACAGATTTGCATTCCAAGGTTCAGGAAAGCTTCACTGTGAGCCCTTCTACAACCACCATGAATTATTGACTCTCTAAAAGAAAGGATTTAATAAAGCACAGTCATGCCTTCCAACACATACCTGTAATTTGTTGAATGAGTTTAAATGTGGCTTAAAACTACTTTTAAACTGAGTCAAAACAATCCCCGGGCTAAGTCCTGTTTGTTTACCACAGTAATATCCAGTCTCTCTAAAATTCATTATGTATAGATAACAAAGTTATTTTCACTCATTGTCTCAAACCATTAGATACAATAAAGTATTTAATTGCTTCCATTTTCTAACTCTGAAGACCTGTCATTTCAGAAATAGAAAAAGTAATCCTGCTCATTAAAGCAGCCAGAAATTATGAACAATGAAAAGGGACTTTGAATATGTAGTTCTATGCAGATGCTAACTTATTACAAAACCCAAACTCATTTCAGCTATAGCTAAATGCATGAGTTACTGAGATTGTGCACATGTAAGAAGTAAAAAACAACCATGCAATAATGCAGTGTTGGCAAAAAATCATTCTGTAATATAACTAACGATAATGGCTCAAGTATAAACAGCGCCTTCAGCACTTAGCAGGAATTGTACATTTATTTCCAGGTCTATAGGATTTCCCCTTCTTCTTGATTCATGCACAAGGCCTAATTGCCACTAACCTCTCACTAACAGTGGGTCGTTGGTCCTGCATATTTTGTAGAGTTTTTAATTCAGGAGACATCCTGCTCCAAAGCTGACACAATTCCTGACATCTCCAAATGCAAGACCCTTTCATCAGAACTAGCTGTAAGTACTTTTTCTTGTATAAACACCTGCTTTTCATATTCTGTGATTCCTCAGTGAACACTCAGCCTATCCCTTTCGTCCTTTGCTAACAAGAATCAAAGCCCAGAGGTATGTTTTTATGGGTTGTAGCTCTACACTGTCTTGCAACTGTACAAACTACTTTTGAATAGAGAAAACATTTCACTTAAAGTTCTGAATTCTTACCTAGATGTCCATGAACAAAGAAAACAGAAAAAAATACCATCCAGAAAAAGGCAGGGTAGCCTTCACCTTACAAACCTGAGTCATTGCTAAGGATTTCTTCCAAGTAAATAGACATAGACAATAAATCACAAACCATGCATAAAGAGTATATTCATACTACAGTCAGGTCAGATAAGAAAAACATTTAGGATTACAAGAGAAAGTGAAAAACTAAACAGGCATGCTGCCAAGATAACATTTCAAGATTCAACTTAGATAGAGTCATGCAACCTACAGCCCAGGAAAAACACAACTATTAGAAAGAACATTTTTCATGGTTTCTTTCACCACTATGGTGTGAAAATGATATTGACTAAAAATTGATATTATGTTCTATCACCCAACTTGCCTTCATGGGGATATTCTGCTTCAGCAGAACTTAACTGTGCTGCTGTAGTTGAGCCTTTAAGTGGCCAGCTTATTTTCACTATCACGTTACCTAACCCTCTTTTGCAAACATAAAGCCTTTTTCAAAATGCTGCCTGCCTTTGTAAGCTTGCCAATCCCAAAATAAAAGTTTCCTCAAGCTGCTTATCCTTACAAATACATGTAGAAGCTATAGCTACTCAGCCTTTCATAATCACTTATTTTACAAGATACGAGTTGAGTATCAGTGCTACAACGTGAAAAAAAGCTAGCATTCTCTTTCTTCAGAAAATAGGTTTCTGTAAAGGCTCTGTAGCAGACAGCCACTTGGAAGATGAACAATTTGTTACAATATCCTGTGAAACCTACAGTCTGCAGGTATTTCTTAATCTAATCTTAATATTGCAGGAGTAATACCCCTTTACAAAGCAAGAACTGAACTCCTGAAAGTCTGGCCATTTTTAAGTTTTCTTTTTTACAAAAATTTGAGCTTCAAGCATGTCCTAAGGCCAAATCAGGAAGAGATCTTTCTTATGATAAAACAGACTGTTGCTAGGTGGATAAACTAAGGCAACAGAATAAGTATCGAATCAATCATACAGAATGTGTTCAGAATGCTCTACACAGACAGTGTAAATAACAAAGGGAATGTGAAGAGCAAGAACTGTGTAGTTGCCCAAGCTTCATGCATCCATCTCCACTGGCATAAGAAGTAGTTCTGTCTTTTTGACGTTAGAGCTTCTCTTCCACAGACTGGAACTGCAGCAGAGCCTTAGTGTAAAGGGTGACCTTCTTCATTCTGAAAGACTTTGGAATAGCTTCTGTATCACAGAATCACAGAATCACAGAATGT